CGAAATGACCAAGCACAACGTAGCTAGGGAACAGTTCAAGAGAGCTATTAGAAACTCTTCTACCTCAAACAAAGAGAAAAAGAGCATCGAAAAAGTTCGGAAACTTCTCTTAGAAAATGGTTACCCAAAACATGTCCTATCTCGAGTTTTAACCCGCGCCCCGCTGGGGGGGGGGGGGGGGGCAGAATCTGCCCCCCCCCTCCCGTTTTTCGCCAATAACTTCTAAACGCGTTACGCCAACGACGTCAAACTTTCAGTACCTTATCATATATCAATTTGAGACGAGATGAGATTTGAGACAATCAATTTGAGAAAATTTGAGCGAAATCTGTTGGAAAATTTTTGAGAAATTGACGTTTTAGTGACGTCATGTTCGCCATTTTCGCCTCAAAAACGGCAAAATTTCAAACGCCGCTAACATCTTCAATTTTAAAGGAATCAAGACGTAACAAAAAAGGTTATACGTGATTCTACTTTGTCTACCAAATGGCTATCTCGGTTTTTTGAAAATTTTGGATTTTGGCCCAAATTTTTCAAAAAACTGACTTTTTTGGGAAAATAATTATAAAATCCAAAATTTTGAGTGTATCGAAAAAACCGGGATATATGTCAGAGAACTGGTCTATGTGCACCTACATACCAATTTTTAGACGAATCGGTTCAAAAATGTGTGAGTTATTCAAAAATTTATGACGTCACGACACACAAAAATTTTGAAAAATGATTTTTTTTGGAAGTTCTAGACCTCGTACGGAAACAAAAATAGCACCACTCGATTCGCCGTGAAAAACTGCATCAGATAAACACCTTTTTAGGCCTTAACAACCAACTTCAAAATTTGACCTCACTTGAGCTGACCTTGACCTGACCTCGACCTGAAATTCATCCAGAGGTGGTCCATATCACTTATTGAGTGTGCCTATTGAGTTCTATGAGTAAAATGACCCATAAAACATGTGTCGCACATGCCCTTTTTTATATTTTGTTTTTGGTGACCTGACCTGACCTGACCTTGACCTTGACCTTTGAATGACATTGTATGCAACGAATATTGTCTTGGTAGTCTAAGAACACGTTTTGGGCAATCAGTCTCAGTCCATTCTTCGGCAACTACGGTGCAAGGCCGATACTGTAGAAACTTACATTTTGTACCCTTGACCTGACCTTGACCTGACCTCTGACCTACTTAAGCAAAAAAATTTGGGCTCTTAAGATCCGCCTTGTTGAGAGCTTTCGATTGCCGTTTTCCCCGTCTTTCTACGACCATCGGTTCGGAAGTTAGACAGGGGGGGGGGCAGAATCTGCCCCCCCCAGCAGGGCGCGTATGGCTGAATAGCCCAGCGGGGCGCGGGTTAAGAGAGGCCAAGGCGCCAAAGAACACCAAAAAGCACCCAAAACAGAAAGATGTAGATGGTTTCCTCTGTCTCCCTTTCATCGATGATCACTTGTTATGCAAAGTCAAGAGAAAAGTAGCCAAGTCAGGTTTGAATATCAATGTAGCATGGCAAAACAAAAGCAAACTTAAGAATATGTTAGTGCACTCTTCATTCTCGAAGCCCAAAAGCCCGGGCGGACAAAGATGTCATACTTGCAACACTGGATTCAAAGGCGACTGCTCACAAAAGAACGTTGTGTACAAAATCTCGTGCAAACTTTGCCAGGAGAAAGGAGAGGAAAACATCTACATTGGAGAGACAAAACGCCCCTTACGACTTAGGTTCAACGAGCATATCAGAGACGCAGCCAACCGTACGCCAGAAACCCCCATGGGCGACCATTTTTTAGAGCACCATACGTCACACTCTCAAAATTCTAGCATTCCCCTAAACATCCAAGTCTTGTATAGAGCCAAGGATCACCCCGACCGTAAAATAGCCGAATCAGTGTTTATCAAGAAGAGACGTCCTCAGCTGAATAGAAACAGCACTTCCTGGCCAATCTTATGAGCCTACGTATTGGACTATTGATAGGTGTGTGAGTGAAGGTGCATGTACGGTAGGTATGTGTAGATGTGGGTGTGGGGGTGTGGCGCCGGGGGGGGGGGGTATATATGTCTGGTGGTGTGAGTGCATGTGGGAGCATTTGTATGATATCCAGAGAAAGGAGAAAAGCGAGGGAGTGAGAGAAAGTGAGAGAGAGAGAGAGAGAGAGAGAGAGAGAGAGAGAGAGAGAGAGAGAGAGAGGGAGAGAGGGAGAGAGAGAGAAAAGCGAAAAAGAGGGAGATAGAGCCGAGGCAGGGAACTTAGACATTGAAACGTATTCTATGCTGAAAAAGTTCTTATCTGCATTTATACTATGATATGTTTAAGTTTACGATTGGAAACAATTTCAGAGCCGTTTCAAAATCCGCTCGATAGTATTTAGGTTTCTTGTATTTTGTATGGATAATGTCCACTATCTCGAACGATATTTGCCAGGTACCACACGCTCAATGTTATTGATAGACAGTGATACATGTACAGATTCAGATTGTGATGTACATAGGAACCGCTGCGATTTATCGCCAATGTTACATTTGTGAACTGTGTCTGGCCATAGTGGTAGGATCAGGCAACGTAGCACGAACGACCTTTAAAAAGATATTTTAAAATGCGGCAATCAGAAAAAGATGCAAAAGTGTTCTTTTGGATATTTCACTGATGAAGGCCTGTGGCCGATATATTTGAAAACGCTAAAACAATATAATTTTGGCTCAGCATATTTTTGAAAAGGAGGAAAGGTCATGATAATAAAGAAATACTTGATTTTTACATGAAAAGACTTCGCTTCGCTCGCTGCGCTCGCTCGCTCGTAATAAAACTGAGACGATTCACTGAGTACAAAGGTGCAGAAATAAACAACGGTGGCCTTCAATTCAAGATTAGGATTAAACATTTAGTAGGTCGAAATTCTATAATCATAGGCGAACATAAATGAACACAACGACAGTCAATGAAACTGATCACGTATAATAGGTACAGCCCACCGCTAAAGTAATGTAGGGTTTTACCAATCTCAACGGTTGGCTTTGACTGGCGATTGTTTAATGCGGAGTGATCGAAAAGAAGATGTCAATAGCTAAAGTTGCAGCTGCAAGGGTGACGATACATATAAGCTACATTCAAAGTTTAATTGTAGTCTGGTTAATCGTTCCTAAGCTTCAGAAGCAGAACATACCCATGACTGAAACCGCACATTACTTCTGCTGTGGACTGTACATATTTAACCCGCGCCCCGCTGGGCTATTCAGCCATACGCGCCCTGCTGGGGGGGGGGGGCAGATTCTGCCCCCCTGTCTAACTTCCGAATCGATGGTCGTAGAAAGACTGGGAAAACGGCAATCGAAAGCTCTCAACAAGGCGGATCTTAACCCGGCGGCCGCTGGGCCTCCGCGCCACCCGCCGGCCGCTGGGGGGGGGACATATAGTTGCCCCCCCTTTACTTCTGCAACGATATCGTCGCAACGCGAAGAGATAGAGAAGAGAAACTTTGCTCACATCTTTCTGAATACCTAGCCGAGGTTGTGTCCAAATTTGGTGTCGATCTTATTTGAAATGACTTCACAGTGACGTCATAAGTGAAATTATAGATTTGCGACTCTCATATTCCTCACGATACATCAGATATTATATTGGACCGAATATAATGGGTCGATTATTGGTCAGAAACTAGATGGAAGTGTAGTTCGATGTTTTAGGATGACAGCAGGTGCTGTCTAGTTCATTTACAGTTGAGTTTCATGCTCAGCGTCATCAGAAACGGTCCATATCGAAAAACGACAAAACTTTATGACGTCACTGTGACGTCATCTTAGGTGCTATAACCACCAAACTTTCCTCAAACATTGCCTAGGTATTCATTTGAAGCTATGCCACGTTTCACGTTCGTAGCTCATCAGGTTTCGGAGATGTTTCACAAAACGTAAAGGGGGAGGGGCAACTTTATACCCCCCAGCGGCTCGTGGGTTAAGAGCCCAATTTTTTTTGCTTAAGTAGGTCAGATGTCAGGTCAAGGTCAGGTCAAGGGTACAAAATGCAAGTTTCTACAGTATTGGCCTTGCACCGTAGTTGCCGAAGAATGGACTGAGACTGATTGCCCAAAACGTGTTCTTAGACTACCAAGACAATATTCGTTGCATACAATGTCATTCAAAGGTCAAGGTCAGGGTCAGGTCAGGTCAGGTCAGGTCGCCAAAAACAAAATATAGAAAAGGGCATGTGCGACACATGTTTTATGGGTCATTTTGCTCATAGAATTCAATAGGCACACTCATAAGTGATATGGACCACTTCTGGATGAATTTCAGGCCGAGGTCAGGTCAAGGTCAGGTCAAGTGAGGTCAAATTTTCAAGTTGGTTGTTAAGGCCTAAAAAGGTGTCTATCTAATGCAGTTTTTCACGGCGAATCGAATGGTGCTATTTTTGTTTCCGTACGAGGTCTAGAACTTCCAAAATAATCATTTTTAAAATTTTTGTGTGTCGTGACGTCATAAAATTTTGAATAACTCCCACATTTTTGAACCGATTCTTCTAAAAACTGGTATGTAGGTGCAAATAGACCACTTCTCTGACATATATTCCGGTTTTTCGATACACTGAAAAATTTGGATTTTATAATTATTTTCCCCAAAAAGTCAGTTTTTTGAAAAAAAAAATTTGGGCCAAAATCCAAGATTTTTAAAAAACCGAGCTAGCCGTTTGATAGACAGAGTAGAATCACGTATAACCTTTTTTGTTACGCCTTGATTCCTTTAAAGATGAAGATGTTAGTGCGTTTGAAATTTTGCCGTTTTTGAGGCGAAAATGGCGAACATGACGTCACTAAAACGTCAATTTCTCAAAAATTTCCCGACGGATTTCGCTCAAATTTTCAGGGAACGTGTCAAATTGATGTATGATAAGGTACTGAAAGTTTGACGTCGTTGGCGTAACGTGTTTAGAAGTTATTGGCGAAAAACGAGAGAGGGGGGCAGATTCTGCCCCCCCTCCAGCGGGGCGCGGGTTAACACTTTGTATTACATATTTATAGAATGATATATAATACATACAAGTGAATATGTATTACAAGCGAATATGATACATTAAGAATGGCATAGGTATATGATACATACAATAATAATACATAAAATAATGCCAGGTATGGTAAGTACCTACAATACAAAATACATGTATGGTACATAGAACATGATACATATTTACATCGTATACCAAAATGTTGGTTGGTTGGCAAGCATGGTTCGTCGAAGAAGAGCCATGTGTATATGCTGGTGGTCTGAGGAGGGGCCAGGATGACGTGTGTGTGTGTTTAGAGAGGGTTTTTGGTTCCCAATTTCAATAGATTCTGGTGTCTTAAGGTCTGCTACGTCTTTGCACACTCGCTCAATGTAAATTTTGAATGACCGTGCAGTTATGTTGCTGGATGGGTGTTGCTGTGCCACGTGGTCGCCGAGAGGTGTGTTGCGAGTTTTGTTTTTGGCGTTTCTGATGTGCTCGTCAAAACGATCCCGGACACGTCGCTTGGACTCACCTATGTAAACTGCTGGATTGTCGGGGCACATGTTACACTCAGTTTTGTATACCGCGTTGTTTCTGTGACAACGACCCTCGAGTCCCGCTTCGCAGGTGGGACAGCGCCTTTGACCAGCCGGGCAGGGAGGGCTCTGTAGAGCTGATTTGGTCAAGTACTGGCTCAGTGTCTTTCCATTGACCCAAGCAACGCGGGCCTGTAAGCCTGAGGAATCACAGAACACCCCCTCTACCCGGCGGGCCAAAGTGTCATCAATGTAGGGCAGTGATACGTAACTATGTCGTGTCATGCTTGTTTTTGATGTCTTTGTTCGCTTTCCTAGCTGATGTCTTAGTGTTGTGGCCGGTGGTGTCGCTAATTACTATGTGTCTGGTTCTCTGTATGAGTCGATGTGGGTATCCATTGTGCTTGAACAAAGTTTCGATTCATCAATATGCTCATTCACAGCATTCAGACTGGCTTCCGACTGTTTGGTCACTCCGATGTATTTTATCTTTTGCCAGGCATAAAGTCCAATAGTTTCCTGCAGCTAACAAGATGGCTGGCAAGCAAAAGCTCTGCGCAGACATAAGTCGCAGAAATCCTCAGGAAGATTACGAAGTGATTCAGCGGATTGGAAGTGGAACATATGGCGATGTATACAAGGTAGGTGCTTATATAAGTTTCCAAGTACCACGACGGAGTAGGGGACCATACGGCTCCCTGAATACTCATGATCCCTGTTAATCTGCGTGTGATTGAGCCTACAACCGAACTCTGTTGACCGAGGAGGTCGAGGGCGTTACTACCCCCGGATTTTCTATTAAAATGACGAGCGTACCGAGACGCGCGAGGCGGTGTTGGAAATGTCTCATCAAGACGCTCTATTGTATTCCCAAAGTTGAATTTTGACGCCACGTAACATGTTTACCCGCGAAGGGCCGGTGCTCCGTGACTTCCACGCCGGGCCGAGGGGGGGGGGGGGGGTCTGAACACCCCCGTCTAACTCAGCTCCTGGGCCACGTAGCGACACGCGGTAAGCGGGATTCGAAAGAGCGTAAAAAATGATGACCGAAACACTTTCATTTTTGACGAAACACGGTCATTTTTGGGTCAGGTCAAAGGTCAGGTCGCCAGAGGTCATCAAAGGTCAAATGTAGGCCATTTCAACAATTTTGGCAACTGCCAACGGCTAACTCGGGAACCAATAGAGCTACAGCGCTGCGGAAAAGCGCATTCGATAGCCCTTTTACAGACCTTTCTGAGTATTGCACTCAGATTTGACCTCAGGCCAACGGTTTAGCCTTCAGAGAGCAAAAACTGTAAAAAAATAGCCGTTTTCACCAAAAACAGTTTTTCGGTAATAACTTTTGATTCAAGCAAGCCACGACATTACTTTTGCCGGCATCGTGTTCCTCTCGTCGAGACGCGTCAAATGAACTATTCGCTGACATTAAAAGGTCATTTTGAAAATTTGACCTCAGGTCAAGGTCATGACCTGACCGGAAAGGGTCATGTTGCATATCGGTCGATCCGTATCGTCGAGCTCAATACGTCTGACGTGTTTTCATCGCTCTAGCACATCTCTATCAAAAGTTATGGCCAAAAAAACTGCTGGTGACCGTTCGTGACCTGAGATGACCTCAGGGGCACACAGAGGGGTCACAGGTGCATTTTTCTGTATCAGTGCGTCATGTTTACCCATGAACCGATGTTTGAGAGGGTTTTGAACACCATCCGTCCACAAGAGGCGCATTTCAATTTTCTCCCATTGACTTATAATGGAGAGGTCGCAAAATTGACCTGAGCCGATAGGTCACCGATATCAAAATTCCGAGATATACATTTTGTACATACTGTTACTGTTATCAATCGCTGAAAGTTTCAGGGCGATCGTCCAGCCGCTGTAGCTCTGACGAGGATTATAACTTTTTCTGAAGTTAGGTGAGGTGAGGTGACCTGGAAGGCTCTGGGTCTGAAATTTTCACAACATGTGCGGAAAAAAATGCATGAACGGCGCGGAGCGCCGTTCATGCGCCGCCGTTTTTGAGATATCTGCGAAAAACCGCATGGGTTTTTTTCGGGAACAACCGTTCGATGCCCTCGGCGGCCAGCCGGGCGCGCAGCTCGGGGCAGAGCGGCCCGTAGATTGGCCGGCGCCGGCCGCCGGCCGCCGGTCGCCAATCGGCTGCGGGTGCGCCACCCAGTCGGGCAGCGCACGCGGTGCATGGCCCGTCGGCTCGAGCGCTCCACCTCGTCCAGCACGATGAAGTCGTCAGCGGCGGCGTCTCCGTCCGACTCGGAGGTGCCTCACTGTCGTCATTAGCGACGGCGGCTGCCGCTGTGCGCTCAGTCAGGTCGGCCACCACAGCATCGCTCGCCGATGATTCAGCGTCATCGAAACCGTCGGACGACGGTGGATTCACCAGCGTTTTTGCAGCGGAGGCTGGAAAAACCTCAGCAATAAACAAGAAAAAACCTCACAACATGCCACAGCTTGCATATGACACAGCTTGTGCATATTGTCATTATATTACTCACATGACAGAAAATATTGGCTGCTTTATTCTAGGAACTGGCATGAAAAACATAACCTAAAATCAAGCTAAGTCCCAACCCTCTCTGCCTCTCCTTCCAGCATTTCTTCAAGCACCTTCGAAAATGATCTTCCATCATTATTTTCCACTTCTGTGTGAGCAATTAACTTGTAAGCTGACCACTAGTTAATACACTATCATCTTACTGTTGGGTGCTTGTAGCAAATTTACATATATAAAAATCAAAATGTCCGTATGTATGTATGTGACGCGTCCGTCACGCTTGGCGGGCTATTGCTCCGGAACGGTGCGGGCTATGGGGGTGAAATTTTCGACGTAAGTTGGACACTTGCATCTGTTTGTCGTATTAAATTTTGGTGGGGTTGGGTTTGGTGGCTTGCACGTGGTGGGCGCATCTTTGCGGGATTTTGGGCCGCGGCCGTCGCCGATCAGAGAGCACGCGCATTATCCTCAGTTTCTTCGCTTGCAAAACTGAGCGAAATCAGAGCCGGCAGGTCGTTGACCTTTGGCGATGAATACCGGAACAGAGCACCGCCGGCCAGGAGAAGACGCCAAATTTATTCTGGCCATAACTCGGCCGCTACTGGGCCGATTTTAATGAAAATTGATTTATTACGCTGCGCGTAATGCTGTCCCTCTAGTTTACTTATATAAAAATCAAAATGTCTGTACGTATGTATGTAACGCGTCAGTCACGCTTGGCGGGCTATTGCTCCGGAACGGTGCGGGCTACGGGGGTGAAATTTTGGACATAAGTCAGACGCGTGCATCTGTTTGTTGTATTAAATTTTGGTGGGGGTGGGTTCGGTGGCTTGCACGTGGCGGGCGCATCTTTGCGGGATTTTGGGCCGCGGCCGGCGCCGAGCAGACGGCACGCGCCTTAGGCTCAGTTTCTTCGCTGCAAAACTGGGTGAAATCAGAGCCGGAAGGTCACTGACCTTTGGCAATGAATACCGGAGCAGAGCACCGCCGGCCAAGAGGAGACGCCAAATTTATTCTGGCCATAACTCGGCCGCTACTGGGCCGATTTTAATGAAACTTGATTTATTACGCTGCGCGTAATGCTGGACACCTAGTTACATATATAAAAATCAAAATGTCTGTATGTATGAAACGCGTCAGTCACGCTTGACGGGCTATTGCTGTGGAACTGTGCGAGCTACGGGGGTGGAATTTTGGGCGCAAGTCAGACGCGTGCATCTGTTTGTCGTATTGAATTTTGGTGGGGGTGGGCTCGGCGGTTTGCACGTGGCGGGCGCATCTTTGCAGCATTTTGGGCCGCGGCCGGTTTCGAGCAGACGGCACGCGCCTTAGGCTCAGTTTCTTCGCTTGCAAAACTGGGTGAAATCAGAGCCGGAAGGTCACTGACCTTTGGCAATGAATACCGGAACAGAGCACCGCCGGCCAGGAGGAGACGCCAAATTTATTCTGGCAATAACTCGGCCGCTACTGGGCCGATTTCAATGAAACTTGGTTTATTACGCTGCGCGTAATGATGTCCCTCTTTACGCTGCGCGTAATGCTGTCCCTCTAGTTACATATATAAAAATCAAAATGTCTGTACGTATGTATGTAACGCGTCAGTCACGCTTGGCGGGCTATTGCTCCGGAACGGTGCGGGCTGCGGGGGTGGAATTTTGGGCGCAAGTCGGACGCGTGCATCTGTTTGTCGTATCAACTTTTCGAGGGGGTGCGCTCGCCGGTTTGCACGTGGCGGGTGCATTTCTGCCGCATTTTGGGCCGCGGCCGGCTTCGAGCAGAGAGCACGCGCCTTAGGCTCAGTTTCTTCGCTTGCAAAACTGAGCGAAATCAGAGCCGGCAGGTCACTGACCTTTGGCAATGAATACCGGAACAGGGTACCGCCGGCCAGGAGGAGACGCCAAATTTATTCTGGCCATAACTCGGCCGCTACTGGGCCGATTTGATTGAAACTTGATTTATTACGCTGCGCGTAATGCTGTCCCTCTAGTTATATAAAAATCAAAATGTCCGTATGTATGTATGTATGTGACGCGTCCGTCACGCTTGGCGGGCTATTGCTCCGGAACGGTGCGGGCTACGGGGGTGAAATTTTCGACTTTAGTCGGACGCGTGCATCTGTTTGTCGTATCAACTTTTCGAGGGGATGCGTGCAGCGGTGTGCACGTGGCGGGCGCATCTTTGCAGCATTTTGGGTCGCGGCCGGCGCCGAGCAGTGAGCACGTGCCTTAGGCTCAGTTTCTTCGCTTGCAAAACTTAGCGAAATTAGAGCCGGAAGGTCACTGACCTTTGGCAATGAATACCGGAACAGAGCACCGCCGGCCAGGAGGAGTCGCCAAATTTATTCTGGCCATAACTCGGCCGCTACTAGGCCGATTTTATTGAAAATTGATTTGTTACGCTGCGCGTAATGCTGTCCCTCTTTACGCTGCGCGTAATGCTGTCCCTCTAGTAGATGATATAAAACGAAAAAAATTAACACCACAACACCAAACACCAGTCTTGTTGGTTCCCTTTGGTTCTGCCTGATGACAAAGGCTCTTTCTTTACGCAATATCATGAGTATTCCTCTTCTAATCTTGAAGCCCAGATGCTTTACACATTGGCTATGAATGATACTAAATTATTATATTAACTGAGAAGCGCAAATCACGATGATTAGTAACAAATTAGGCCGATTATTCCAACATGACATCAAAAAAATAGACGGGGTCGCCTGAGGAACTTGTTTGGCCCACCGCCCGTCAGCTGTTCGAAATCCACTCACTCAATTTCCTTCACAAAATACGCTGCACTGGAGAGCCGGAGACTATATCCTCTCAAATCCTGACCAACTCTTCCCTGCGTTCACGCTCGACAAGGCGAGACACTGATCTGGCTCTCCCACGCGTGAGGACCGAAGCAGGAAGGCGCCGTCTGCTCTACAGCATCGCCCAATTATATAATCGCCTGCCCCATGATTTAAGGAGCCTGTCTATGGGAAGTTTTAAGCGCTCTGTTTCCAAGTGGTTTTTACGTATTTAGGGATGAGTGAATGGTTCGATATGTTTACTGAGTGCTGTGATTTGGGTGCATTTTAACTCGTTTTCCCCTTTTAACTCGTTTTCCTAGACGCGACACTCAGAATAG